GGTACCAGATCACTGATGATTTGTCAAGTACAGTTTTCCATCCGCTTCTGTTCCAGACTTACACTCACTTTATACAGAACAGGTTTTGTGTAATGTGTTCATGAACAACTGTGGGGAATAACATCTATAACCTTACTAAACTAAGACCTTACAAGCTCCAAAACTAGTGCTAAAGAAGAGGGAAGCCAAGCTTAAAACATGGAAATTCTACCACTTCTATAATTTCCTCCTGGAAATGTGTCTGCTAAACCTGTCAGTAGCTAATCTTCCTTTATTTCACAATGGTATTCAACCTCTGCCTGGCAATTAGGACTGTCTTGGTTATTCTTGTAACCTTGGGACGCATTCATAACTAGAAATCACCGTCACTTCCCAGAAGCACGTGTTGTGCCATGGCATAGCTAAAGAAGCAATAGTATAAACTCGCATCAATTGTAAAATCAATGCATTAATTTGTGTAGTTATACTTAATATTCAGTGACTGTGTAAGGATTACATTTTTATTAATAGATGGTTGATCTGCAGTAACAGTATACCTGGAACCTGAAGAATATTTTTTGAAACTGGCCTCCAGTCACAGCTCTTAGTACTTCGTTGCTATGGATGTGTTGCTGTGTAGCACATACATTAATATTTTGCTCTGTGATGGAGTCCTGAAAAACATGGACTGTTTGTGGAAGATGTATTTAAATAATGTTGATTAATAATTTGCCATCAGAATTGGAAGACACGTGGGTGGTGAAATGCTCACTCTTAAGCCATGCATGTGGTACTCTGAGTTAGGATTTCACTTGAACAGCTGTGTTTTTAACTGCAGTGTATCTGTATGTTTTTTTCCAAAGGGGGAAATCCATGGGGGAAGTCTTTCAGTAATTAGGTTGTTATTACTCCGTAATCGCTCCCTTTTCTACTACATCACTGTTACTGTGTGGTGTCTGGCTCGTGGAGAAAGATCAGTGCTTGCTGTGTAACGTGAACAGAAGTTTTTAAAAGGGGAATGGAGGTTTTCTAGTAAAAATTATCTTGTAAAGAGGGATTGATATTCATATTAGCTGGAGATAATATGGAAAAGAGGCTTTATGAAGGCCTTTGTACTAAAATATTGCATGCTGGTTCATAAGCAGATGGCAGCCTTCTAAGAGAAAGCCTAATCAGGTTACTCTATGATTTTCATTTTATGATGTTTTTATAACCCAGTATTATCTATTTATTGTGTAATCTGGTAGACTAATAACCTAAACAATATCTAACTTTTGGGAATTATCCACTTGTGGATTTTGGTATGTTCACATAATTAATGGAAATTCACCTATTTAAGATATTGCGGAGTTCATTTGCAGCATTTTAATAAATGATGCGATTTTTGGTACAGGAAAACAATTATTTAACTCCAAAACCTTTGTCTTAAGTGCCTTAGTAATGGTATCCCCTTTGGAAAATGCTCTTTACTTCTAAAGTCCTGATTCACGTTCTGCTGACATTTACAGAATAATTTCCACAAGCTTTAGATCAAATTTAGAGATTATTTGGACAATTTGGAAGGCTGCAATTAAAAATCCCAGAGTATGTCTAAGTTTTAAATTCTGTCTGTAATAAACGGAAGCGATGAAAACCTCATTCGGTGCCTGTTTATATGTTCAGATACTTAGAAGAACTGGGTATATGAAATGGTTTATCTCCATCACTGCTGCCTTTTCCCATCCTTTCAGACCATAGTCTTTGGTTAGGCAGTGTGTCATAAACATAATTTGTAGTTTCAAAGGCCCAACTCCCCTTTGCGTTCAGTTTCTGTGTAGTTTCTGGCTGCTTTTCTGGTAAAGGTATCACTGAAATGCTTGTAGGACATCGTAATAACAAACCTACCGTTACAACTGCTTACTGCTCGCAGACCTGTACATTGCTGTTTGTATATTGGCTGCTGTTCCCTACAGGCTTCCACTGAGCTCCAGGGAAATTAAAAATTCTTCTATTAAAACGTATGATTTAAAATGCTCCTTTCCCTATGCTTAAGGAATCTTGAAGGATCAGTCTGCTTGGTTTACTTGCTGGTGGCTCCTGTCTTGAAAATGTTAGAATAAGTTTGATATTGCTTTTAAAAAGCAGTATTTTGATTTTTCATTAACTCTGTGCTGCATGTGAAGTACTGACAGGTCCACTCTATCTGCTGCAGTCATCTTGCTTAAATATGTGGGTAAACTGAGCAGCAAGGAATCAGATTTTCCTTGGAATGCTAGAGTGGTGCTGTCGTAATTTAGAAGTTAGGCAACGGAAACAAAAAATAAACCCAGGAAAATGTTTTAAGCCACTTTTTGGGGTGCTCTCTGCAGCTGTTGTGCAAAAAGTGGCTGCGGGCCTGGTAAGGGTTGGGGCATGAATCTTCAGATGGTTTAGAAACATTGGAATTAATGAGTCCTTAAAATGTGACTAATTGATTTTCTTGATGCAGAGATCATGCTTGATCTAAATAAACGTCCCAGAGTCTGCAGCCTGTGAAGGCTCATGTCTTGCTCTATACCTGTCTTCAGTTAATGAAATCGAAACATTCCATTTATCACAAAACTATTAAGATATCAATAACTCATTTGGGATTTTTAATTTAACATTAATTTGACTATGTAATTGATGACTCCAAAGAGTTGTCTTCAGTAGGTGCTTCATTTTCTATTTTTTTTTAATACAAATGAATATCAAACTTCTTGCACTATTTTGAACATGTAATTTATAATGCTTAGCCCTTCAGCACTGATCTCTTTTGGTTCAAATATGCTTATGTTCCTTTAATTTTTATAAGTAACTCATTCTTGACTCAAACGTTACGTTTTTCTCATGGTCTAAAAATATTTGTGTATTGTAATTAAAAAAACTTGATTTTGAACAATTTTCTTAATAAATTTTAATTCCCTTTGCTCTTTATCAGTATATAATAAGTATAATGGTTTAAATGTAAATATTTCCTGCCCATTTAATACAGATAGTAACAGCATGCATCTTGCCAGTACTCAAGGATCATCTCTGAAACTTTGGGTGCAGTGGCAGCTGGCTTCAAAGCAGTCTGAAGTACATTTCAGTATTTTCAAAGAAATTTTCTAATGCTGCTTTCTTTAGAACTAAAGTAGAAATGAATGTAAATGTCATTGTCTTTTAATATTCAATTATTAGTGCTGCTCTGGAATTTTATCTTTATTTGCTTTATCAAATGTGATATTAATTGCATTTTATATCTGCACTCTGTAAATCTATCACAGTTTCTTTGATGAATATTCTAAGTCAATTAAGCTAGTACAGGTTCATTGAATAAAGCAAAAAATCATACTGTGATTTCTTTAATTTTTTTTTTTAGTAGCTTTCATTATAAAAACCCTGTCAATAAAGATAATGTATACGGGATCTTTAACTTATGTGTGATGACTGATATCAGAACTGAAAATATAGCCTGATATATTTTTTCAAGAGCTTTTTATATATTGGTATCTACTGATAGATAGCTTTATAGAAATTCAGTGTTCTTTGTATCCACATTAGGAAATTGAAGTGATATGAATAAAATACACGCAGCCTTTGAACACTGCTATGTTCTCACTGTAATTTTCTATGCTCCCTCCTATGTATAAAAGCTAGTATGCTACAGTAGGAATGTGTGATTTTCCCCTATTGCTTTAAATGCTTTTTCAAAAGCAAAATAGTTGTGAATTATTAACGTTAACCACACCATGCCAAAACAGGAGGAAGAAATGCAGGAGTGTTCATTATTGATTGATTAGTGTGTGAATACTTTGACTTGGCACTGACTCTTTTTGAGGCCTATTGATGTATGAACTTCTTTCATCCAGTATAATAATTTTATATGTTGTTTCAACCTTATGCTCAAGGATATGACTAATAGCACAGCTGAACTCAGTGGGGCTTCTCATCAAGTAATATAAGTGAAGGTAGGAGTTTCTTGCTCCAAGTCGTGCATTCAGATTTCCAAGTTTGTGCCTGTCCCAGTCTGCATTGGTGTCGGCTCTTTGCTCCACAGGCTTTCTCTGGAACTTTACATGTTCTTTTATTCTTATCTGGTTCTTGAGCTTCCTGTGTCCTGTTTGGTTAAGCCCTTAAATTTTTACATGTTGTCTCTAGATGAAACCTCTATCTTGTATAGTCAAGCAAAGACCATCTAATACATGTAAAATGTGAAGTAACCAACCCTATTGCAGTGCAAATGGGTAACGCTGCCTAGAAGGGAGTTTACAGGGGCATTTGTTATGTAGCAGCCCTAAGCAAGAATAGACTTGTGTTATACAGTGACATTTATTGACTCCTTCAGGCCTACACCTGTGCTAACTATAGGGTTGTGCTTTCCTACCTGTTTTAGATTATATGACAACTCTTCCCTCCCTATTTACATGCAAAACATCTGGGTATATCAATTAGGCTCTTAACTTGCTGATGTTCTTGTCTGTGATGTTGTAATAATTAGTGATGCCATAAATACGGAAAGTTTAACTTCTGAGGTTCTGCTGCCTTTGATTTTTTTATTTTTTTTTCCCCTCACTAAACTGTGTGTTGTTATTCCCTGACTGTCAGTCTTTAATAAGCTAGCTTTCACTTGTTGAGAAGGTTTTCAATAAAACTGACTTCGCTGCATACTGATGTTTGCCAGGACTGCCATCAACCCATAATGATGCAGTTTGCAGGCTATCGGTCTTTGTTGTCATTTGCCATTTCTTGTGTGACTTCTTATTGCCATTTAAACTGTTTTAGTTTCATATGTTGTAGCTTTCTGCATGTCAGTATAAACATCTTACATAATCTAAACAGAGAAAAGGCCCAGAGGCATCAAATATCTTAAGTATTACTTGTGAATGTGTTTGAAATCAGGATGGTTTTGATTCCCCAACATCTTGGTTTAGATGACCAATGAATATCGTATCAGTCTGTCAAGTCTGAAGTGTTGTACAGTTTTTGCCCGGTGGATACCATTCTTCTGGTTTCAACGCAATTCTTTCTTTCCTAAATAGAGCCATCACACTGGAGAATCAGCTGGTGATCCTTGCAACATCACTGACCGATGCAGGAGGGTACTATGTCCAGGCCGTCAATGAAAAGAACGGGGAGAACAAGACAAGTCCATTTATTCATCTCAGTGTAGCAAGTAAGTATCCAAATTCCAGAAATCCTGCTGTTGTACTGAGGTTTCAGACAGTATTCACAAAAGTCTGCCCTAATAAAAAGAGTTTTGCTAATGAAGCGTTGGAACTTTAAAGGAGGTCAACTTTCCCTGCTTGTTTTGGAGCGTATTGAACTTGTGCAAGAAGAGGGACCTAAGAGAGTATATGCCCTCGACAAATCATCCTCAAAGCCTTTTGTCTGATGGTTTATTTTGTGCAAGGCAGGTACATGATGATATCCCTCGCTGTTTGTTGTGAAGTTGTGATCATAATTTCTTTTTAATGCAGGAGTTTAATGTATTGTTTTTCATTGTGCGTAAGTAAACAAGTCACTCTTCTGAGTGCGGTTTTATTAATGAGTCTATTCCCAGTCTGTAGCATTATTTTTACCTGGAGTTATCACAGAGTCCCAGGGAACATGCATTTCATTGTTATTACTTATTATTTTACATTGCGCAAATTGTATTAACGCCTACCATTACAGACATATTCCATGAGTAGATTTTACAGCAAAGGGGAGGGAGAAACAGCAGAGCAATGGGGTCAGAAAGATGACTGCACACTAAATACACGAACACGTGTGATCAGCAAAAATATGCACACGTAACTCTTGTAAAACACTTGGTAAATGTGTTTGGTTTGTATAAGAAATTAATGCTCAATTATACGTAGAATACTTTGACTTCTTTTCTGGGGGCATTTGCTAAAAGTGTTTTCAATGTAGCAGCGACATAGGGGGTATGTTAGGCTGTTGTGTGAATGTTTCTATTTTTGATTGTGGAGACAAGGAAGATATGATGGGGTAAATTATTGATGATGCTAGAAGCTTTACTGACTGGCTATTCTGATGGTTTGGGGTTCTAGAAGATGCAAGACCCAGGTCTGGAGCAGTCAGCATGATGAGATGTCCAAGATCCCTTGATCTTAGATACCATTAGATCTGAGAATCCCTAAGGCTCATTTTCTTATAATAGCACAAGATGGGAGTCTGGGTTTGTGGGCAGGAAATCTGGTAAATTGCTTTTGGAAGTATGCTTTTTTTTTTTGTCAGAAGTTCATAAAAAAAACATTATGTTCCTGTGAAACATTTAATTTCTAAGAAAATATGATTTTTCTTCTGCTAAAATTCCTAATCAGATGTCAAGGAAAGTTGTTCTTATATAAGTGATGGAAGCCCTGTTATTGGGATCAGGGATGACTGAAGGTGGAAGCTGTATGGTAATGGACAGCAGAAGAGACAAACCTGTGTTTTCTTCCCAGATATGTTTAGAAGCTAAACAAACTTCTGAGGGCTTTTATATGTATCATTCTGAAGTGGAAATAGTATTCCAAATCCAGTTTGAATTCTGGCTGTACTGTGGCATGTAAATTGTAAACATTATTATTTCTGACAGTATAAAGAGCTTTGCTAACACTTTAGTAATTTCATTCTTAAAGCAAATTTGTATTATTTGTATTATGTGACCAATAATGTGCTTCCCCCTTTAATTTCATATCTTAATTAATGCTAGGAATAGTCTGTGATCATGCATGCACAAGAAGTGCTATGCAAAGCAGAAGGTAATACGGGCATATGGAAAAGAAAACACTTCAAAAAGCATAATGGCTTGATACCATGAATACAAAGTCTATGTGGAATCTGAAAAATAAGATCAAATGGATAAAAGTAAATGAAGAATGAGGCAAGGTGGAAAGCCAAAAATGGGTTTGCTTGTTAAAATTAATGTTGACCAATGAAGTTTTTAAATTAGCATCTTGATATCCAGGATTATTAATGCTGTGCATGCATTGAAGACAGACACTGGCCACAAGGCATTACAGTGTCTGTAAAGTAAATGAGATTAATGTGGTCATTCTGAACTTTAATCTAAGGAAGAAACACATGTGATATATTAGATAGAAATGAATATACCTTTTTGGTCCAGTAACAGCAAATAATCAGGCAAAAAATACTGTCCTGAAGCAATATGCAGAAAATGGTTGCAGAAAAATGATCTATTTTGTAAGGGTACTAAAGAATTCCAGCAAGAGGTTGGAAACAGTTTGTTAAATCCTGTTTCCTGTACATCCAGGTATGGAAGATATCACATTGAATTGCCAATGTCTGAATCTTGTCAGATGTTGAGTGATGACACTTGTCATTTTCCATTAGGACATATATAAAATTGAAAAACAGTTTAATCAAAATCAAATAAACCACAAGTTAAGTGGAATATCCAATCTATGTGTGAGTAGATTATATATTAATTATTGAATACAACCTTGCTACATGACTCAGCATGCATATTACCACTTTTATTGAGGTCAAAAGGGGGGAAAAAAACCTGTAGATATTCCCAGGGCAGTCATCCACTGAGAACAGTGTTAGATGTGTTGGATGTGTGTATCTTGTTATTCCTTGAAGGGTATCAGTGTCAGACTTGCTCCAGCCTGTAGGAAAAGTACATTTGCAGAATCAGTCTCACAGCTGAGAAAGCTGCAAGCGGTCCTGTTCTGATCTGAAATACAAGACTGACAGAAGGAGAAAGGTATAGCCCTGACGTAAGTGCAAGATGAGTTATAGGGCCTTATATTGAAGGTTAAAGTCAGTGCCTTGAATTGTGGCTGGAAGTAAATGGAGCTTGAGCGACATCTAGAAAACATACTAAACTGTCCTTCAGTTAATAGCTATATTTTATACGTGTTGAATGCGATTGAGGATGTTGAACATGTTTCAAAAATCCAGTCTAAAAGCCCTAATTGTGATGAGTTTTCTAGTAGGGTTCTGAGGATTAGATATAAAGACCTTTTATTTCTTCTCAGTCTAGCCCATGGCTCCTTCAGTCACAAGCAGCATGAAGTCTTCCATCCACCCATCGCCCCGATGACAAACATAATTCATGGAAGATGGAAAACAGCTATAAAAAAAAAAAAAAGCCTTCTAGCTTGTCAGCCGTGCTTCTACTGTGTTGGGGTTTGCTGTTGTCTACATTTTGAGGTTGGTCAGACATTGAGAATGCCTGGCTTTCAAGTGTGTAAATGCACTTTGCAGTAAAGATGTATTAGCCAATAGATATGGTCACTCTGTGAGAAGATCCAAACACTGAGCAGTATTTTCCCTTAACAGCCAAGTCCCTAGCTCAGTTAAACACGGGTGTTCTGCCTGCCTGCCCTCTAAAACCATGTGTCTGGATTTGAAAGTCTAGGTCACCAGAACGGTTAATCTCACAGCATGAGGCCCAGCCCAGCATGCTTAAAATCAATGGTCTCTTCTTTCAAGTGGGCAGGCTTCTGCTGATTGAAAGAGTATTACATCATTCCTGAGGTGACAGGCTCCGGTGAAATTAAAATGATGTCCAAAAGACAGCATATTGGGGGAGTAATGACACATCTGAAATTAGTATGAGTTGTCCTAAATTTAAAATGTCTTCAAATCAGTTGAACTGTATACTAAGCTAATGAAAATCTTAGCTTTTTTTTTTTTTTTAACCATATGTCCCAGCTTTTATGTAAATACCACAAAATTTTGGCTAGGAAAATTGGAAAATCTGTAAGTCAAGAGTCTGGCAGCAAAAGTAGTAACAAAACTCAGTTTGCTTTTTGACTCAAATACATAACTTGCTCCCTGTGGAAATTTCACTAGTAGTGTTTTCAAGGATTTCAGTATTAACTCCATTGCTGGAACTTCCTAACTTGATCAGAGGGGTGTGAGAATTAATCTGTCACTGAGCTGTTGCAAGCTTCTTAGATGTAAATGCTAGTTTTCAATAAAAACAACTGAGAAATCTTTAATGTTCTTTCCTGTTTCTATCTATTCAACAATAGATTTCATGATAATACCTTTAATTCTTTAGGCTTTTTGTTTCATGCCTGCTCTCCCACCGACAGACATACACCTCAGCGCAGATGGTCAGTTCTCCTCCTGAAGACTCTGGTTTGTCAGGAGGATGAAGTGACACGCTTGTGATCTTACCAGTGTTGGCAGGACACATAAAGATTGAAGGGATCATTAAAGTAAGGCCAAACTATGTGTTCCAGCTAAATTTGTCTGAAACTCTGTGCCAAACCTCTTGTGGTTGTAGTATGGAACTTAAAAAAACAAACAAAAACCAAACAAAAACCTCCAACAAAACTCACACATAGTAATTTGCTGTAGCATTTATGTGTGAAGGTGTTTTGGAGGGAAAGAGGGAGAAGGGGTGTTAAGAGCTTTATAAGGAAACTGTAAGGATTTGTAGTATATAAATCAAGAGTTTAAGAAGCAGGTGGGTTTTTTGAGGGAGGGTAAAAAAGATTAGAGGGAGCTTCTTACTACTCTAAGGATCTGAGATATTTACCAAATGTATGCAATGGGTGTCCTTGTTCCTTCCTTACGTGATGATGTGGCAAGACTGTGGTACCACTTCAGAAGTTTGAAAAGCTCTGCTGAGATTTTTCTGTTGTTAAATGCAATGCTATAGCTGTGAGCTGCGCCGTTCCAGTCTTAGAAACTTTTAACAGTTTGCAAGTTGAAATATTTTATGAAAAATTTGAGGAAGTGTCCCCCAATAAATGATTTAAATGGCAAGTTTGCAAAAGGTGAGTATGTGCAAGCTGTTCTGACAGCTTAGATGCTCCTGCTTCAATTGGTTTTGCAGCACTAATCATCTGGAACTGCAGTTCAGGGCCTTGCTTCTGGACCTTCTTGTTAAGCAGTGAAATATTGAGATGCATGTTGCTTCAATAGATTTATTAGTAAATTAGATAGTCTCAAGACCTATTCATAACACTAGGAGATACAGAGTGTTCTGCAGACTGACGTCTTTTTCTGATGCAGGCTTTATAAAAACAGAAAACAAGATTGATGAAAATTTTCAAAACCTTGCCAGCCAGCATTTCTGAGGAGTCAAAGATAATAAAGCCAATTATCATTTAACAAAGATAAATTTTTCCCTTGAGCACTGGCAATGCTTAAAAAAAATATAGTAAAAAAAAAAAAAAAGTTGGGGACTGAAAATTAAACTCC